ACAGAATGAGTACGTTAAATAATTATATAATAATTACAAAAAATAAAGCATTAGTTATGATATTAATTGGACTATCTATACATAGTAGAGCCAGAAATAAACTTCTGTTTTCGAATTTTAACGAGAAGAGCTATGCAAGGAAGTTGAACTGCCTTCCTTTTCAAAATAGAAGTTGCAGTTTCGTTCCAACATAATGTTGTTATACTCGTATATTAGTGTTCCTTTTCAAAATAAAAGTTGCAGTTTCGTTCCAACATAATGTTGCATATATTAGTGACAGTACTCTCTATAAGCAGTAAATATATATATTTTACAGACTGATTCTTTTAAACACTGCTATAGTAAATACAAATAAACAAAGCATTACTTGTGTTGGTGACTGTACTATTCATAAATAGTAGATTCAGATATTTATAAAGACTGAGTGTTTTGAACAATGATATTGTAGCTACGAACGAACAAAGCATTACTTGTGTATTTTGAACAATGCTATACTTTCTTACTTCAGATTACAGGTTTTGTTGATGTAATCCAGTATTCGGTATATCCATATCACGAAGTAATGATGCACGAGAATGCTTCGAACAAGGTCATTCAGAGATTTTTTTCATGCTGATAGAGGTGTTCTTTGACAGCCTAACGTAATAACAAAACCATTCACCGTTTTGATGTTTTTAGCTAGACGGTTTAGAGATCTTGTTTACAGTTGGATGTAAATAGAAAGCCAGTCATAGATTTTATTTACGCTTAGTGGTAAGTTCTTTAACAGCCAGACGTAATAACAAGGCTGTTCAGAACTTTTGTTTACAGCGGGGCGTAAATCGAAAATCATTCAGAGATTTTGTTCACGCCAGAAAAAATACGTGAAATTGGAGGGTGTGTCTTTAGACAGACGGACGTAACAAGAAGGCCATGCAGAGATTTTGTTTACGTTGAGAAATATGTTATTTTAACGGACGGACGTAACAAGAAGGCCATTCATAAACCTTGTTTACAGCCAGACGTAAAAATTAACAAGTTTGCCATCACAGAACTCCTGTACTTGTACTTGCGATCTTGGTCTCCGACCCAAATTAATTATAATTAAATAAATAATGAACAAAATTCTATCAAAAACTTTTTGAAATATTTTATTCATAAACTTTACATCGAGAAAAATATTTATTTATAATCCGTAAAATTATTTTATTATTGTTTATAGTTCTCCCACGATCCACTTAATTACAAATTCAGGTTTTTAAGATATGTTATTAACAATCTTAATACGGATAAAGAATGTTAACAGTAGAAAAACACGTGTCTTTCACAGTACACAATAAGTTTTGGGA